TTTACTGTTGATGAAAGTAAAGTATAAATTAGCATAGCCTTTTTAGAGGTCAATTTGGCAATATGTATAAAATACAAAACATGAGTACATATACTTGTCCCAGTTTTCTACTTCGAAGGGTCTGTCCGATACAAATATTGGCATATTGTAGAGAAAAGGAACAAGTACAATCAAAATTCCTTACTTTGGAGTATTACCTCATCCATTTAACCCACTTCCCATTTAGAAAAAAAAGTGCAGCGCACTGCCCATGTTAATTTACTTTTACATAAACACATTCTTTGTGGCTAAAGAAAATCTGACTGGTTTTCGATGTGAAAATAAAATCCGAAAACTGTTCTTGGAGTTATTTCTAAACCGAACTTATCTCTAATCCTAATGTAACAGAAATCTATACATAAATTGGATTCATTGAATGAATCTTTGGCTAACAACCATTTGAGAACAAGGTGAACATCATGTGTAGGAATGCTATGTTTTCTAAGATTTGACATTTTCAGCGATCAAGAATTACTATATTTTGTAAATGGAAATACCACTACTAAAAATAGAATGCTATAAGTAGAATGATGTCATTTGTTTCCAAAGACTATCAATATACTAGAGCAATGCAAAAATAATAATAAAAGCGAGATATTTCGTGGCAAACTTTGGTGGTAAGGTTAGGACTGTAATCCACAAGTTATTTTGGGGTAAACAGTGCAGCCACAAGCGCCGCTGGCAAGTATTCTTGGGGCAAGCGGGAAATGGGTTAAAAGCATTAAATAAATCAGAATGCCCTAACATGAAAGTATCTCTAACCATACTAATTTGGCAAAGCAAATTGGTTAACAACATATATAGTATAATTAATTTTTTAAATGCTATATATCTATTGAAATCCTACTATGTATAAGTCTTGGTTCTTGATAGTGGGTTTATAGAATTGAAGAAAACAAATAAAGTTCCTGCCCTCATAGATTTTACATGTTTAGTCTGGAGATGGGGAGATGAGGGGTTAGGGACAGCATACAATAAACTAGGTACCAAATATAAAAACAAGTTAATTTCCAATAGTGATAAATTCTATGAAAGGAATAAACAAGTTCTACAGTGGGAAAGGGTGCCCAGCAAAAGTCAGTGCTATCAGTAAATGAGAGCAATTATCTACTTGTGGAGTAAATTTGACCTCATGAATGTTCTGGAATTGAAAACCTCTTAAATTCATATTGACCTCTCTATCTTTTAAGACATTTCAGGCAGAGAAGATACAGTATGATCAAAATTCTGCAGAGAATTTTGCAAGTCCGACATCCAAGGTTTTCATTTCTGTTCACCCACATTAGCAGAGCTAAATCCAGAAGTCACTGAAAATGAGGAAAGGGAGGATATTACCAGCATTACAAGCTCTTGGCGTGTTTCAGGAATGCATGAATCATTATTTTACTCTGTAAAAGTTATAGAATGGTATTTGTCTTATGTAAGTAGAATTATTATAGGCAAGAAGTATAAACAAAGTGGTTGTGTATTGGATTCTATTGATGCCTTTGTTATAAAAGGTTTATATATGAAGAAGGTGGAGAGAGGACTCCAAGAAACATCACACTAGCTTATGTCCTCCCCTGTTCCCATTGGAATAACAGCTTTGGGCTTGACAGCCAGTCAAGATGGTGTAGAAGGCAGACAATGTGCTTGCCCCCTCTCACAACCACATCAAAATGCAATGAAACTACAGAAAACCATCACTGGGAGCCACCTGAGGTCTGGCTGAACAGAAGTCCTACAACTGGGGACATACATAAAATGTCACTTCAAGTCTGGTAGGAGGGGCAGAGCTGAGAAATGGCTGATCCCACAAGTGCATTTGGCAATGGAGAATCGGTAGGATTACCTTGGCTGCAGAGACCCATCTCCGCACTGGGCTCCCCAACCCAGAGGTTCAGTGCCAGGAAGAGAAGTCCCTACAACCTCTGGCTATGAAAATCACTGGAGATTGTGGCTGTGTGAGACAAAGGGCCTCTGAAGTCGCAGACATTCCTCTTAAAGGGCCTACCCAGACTTACTAGTTGATGGACTCACTCTGAACTCCAGCTCTGGGGCAGCTACTTGAGAGATGCCAGGGACATACAAGGAGGTCTTGAATTGTCTGGCTTCAGGGCAAGGACTAGAGGGGTGGCTTTCTCCTGGACAGATGTGCTGTCAGAATCCATTGTTCCTTTGTTGAGCCTTCCCCCATCCCAGCTTGCAGACACAGGCTTCAGCCATATCTGAGTCTCCATCAACCTGGTTAACATAGGTCACTCCACCCACACAATTTCCTGAGACCCCGCCCCTCCCAACTTGCTGGCCCACCCAAGCTGCCTCCAGTGGTTTTTTTCTCATACAAATCATCTATCAAATAGCTCATGCTTCAGACTTTCCTGAAATCTCTCAAAGGCTCACAAAACCCAAAGAAAGAGCATCTGGCTTCAGCATGCTCTGTACCTCTTGCCGAGTAGCTCTAAGGCCTCCACTAGCAGCAACTGGCCTTGATTCCTGGGTTGGCCTCTCAAGGCACCTATAACCTCAACACTGGTGGCAGCCATCTGTGGATTGCTTGGTGATTCTTACCATGGGAAACTAAAGAATAAAATTAACAAACAAAACAGAAACAAACTCATAGATACAGAGAACATTTTGAGGGTTACTAAATGGGAGGAGGGTTGGAGGCGTGAGTTAAAAAGGAGAAGAGATTAAGAAGTATGAATTGGTAGTTACAAAATAGTCATGGAGATATAAAGTAAAGCATAAGAATATAGTCGATAATATTGTAATAACTATGTATGGTGTTAGATGGGTACTAGATTTATCCAGGTTATCACTTTGTAAATTATATAAATGTCTAATCACTATGTTCTACACCTGAAACTAATATAATATCATATGCCAACTATAACTGAAAAATAAAATATATTTTTTAAAAAGCTTTGGGGTCTGTAGTGCTGACCAAAAGACAGGTGGCCCCAAAACTAGGCAAAGCCCACAGAGAAGAGAATTCTATCTGTGCATGAATCTTCTTTGCTGCCCAAACCATACTCCATTCTCTGAGGCATTTCGAACCCACAAGAACAGGAGCCATGTATGCTTTCAGATGGCCCTATCCTTCAGAGTTTTGAAAAGCAGAAAGCTGTTTTAGGGAAGCCCCCACCTCTTTGCCCCTCTCTCAGATCTCAGCCGTACTCGCTCAGACTCCCATCCTAAGGCTGACCCCTGCCCAGAGGTGGGTGGCAAATGGACTGCATTTGCTGTACTCTACCAGGAAGCACAATGCAAATGCTTTTACTAAGTCAACACCCTCCAACTGTGAAGTGGTAATATGCTAAATTATGAGCTTAATTAATTTCTACCCAACAGCATACCATAAAATTGGAAAAGCAATTCCATTACCCAGGATCAATGTGCATAAAGTACACACAAAAGGATTAAACATTCTCACCAGTAAATTTGTGTTTGTGCTTTGGCTGAATATTTAGAGGTCCATTTCTACTATAGGCTGATGAATGTTGTACAGTTAATTACCACTTCATTGTGTGTCTCTTCTTGTGTTGCTACCATATGGGTTATGAATTACAGGGATGAGATTTTTGCTCGTTTCCTTCAGATTAGGAATCAAAGGGGAAAACTTTCTGTTAGTATTTACTATGAATACCCATCCTCTTCACAAGTTTGTTTCATTTTCTGTTTATCTGTTTTGTTTTTTTAAACATGCAAAAATGATTCCACCAAGATTAGGAAAACTGAGCTAAGAGGTAACCTGGTGTAGCTGTTGTCTTATGAGTATTCAATGACATGGGCTCTAGCAATTTCTTAACTAGTCTAGAGTTATATCTACATAATATGAATAAAACTGGCTATAAAAGAAATATACTTTTATTTGTTTTATTTATTTAGTATAGCCACCTTTTCTCCAGACTACATAATATTATATAGTAGCTTTGTAATTATTTGTATAATTTTTTAAAGTGTCTATCCAGCACTTTACGCTCCATGAGACAAACACTATATTTTTCTTTCACCTCTATATCTCTAGCATCAAGGCCAATACCTGGTACTTAGCTGATACTCAAGAAATATTTGTAAGCCAATGATTGAATGAGTGAGTGAATGAATGACTGACAAAGCTAAGTTTAAAACACAGTGTTCTGGCCTCACAGGCCACCTGGGCCATAGACTATAATTCCCATTTAATTTCATACAAATAATGGCTGAACCAGCTTGGAGATTTGTTTCCAGAAAAATGTCGATTTATTCACTTGAGATCAGTCATGGTAAATATAAGCGGATTGGCAGTGCATCACTAAGGACTACCCAGTACATGGCACTTTAGTTGATGGCACTTCATGGTTTCAACAGAAAAAGCTGGATTTTGAGGCCAGGCTCTTTCTTTATAAAAGGATATACTGAAGAAGGTTGGAGAGCCAAAGAAATGAAAGGCAAGTCCACATATCTGCTGCTTTTCACAGATCAAGAGAGCCAGAGTCTGAATCAGAGAGAACAGCAGGAGCTCCCGTTCTTCCTGCTGGGCGTCACCTGCTCCTGGCCCTCTTACCTCCCCTTGCATCTGAGGACCAAAAGCAGCATGGTTTCACAGGCTGAGTCCCTCCTCCCAAGCTAACCTGATCAGACTCACTAAGAATGGATAACAAAGCACCAACAGGCCATCAAAGACAGAGTCCTTACTTTTTCTTGATCTTCAGGTTGCATTGACTTCAAGCTACCTTTCCCAGAATGTTGCGAAAACATGTAATACACACACACATATATATTATATATGTATACACACATATTTGTATATATATTTATACACACACACACACACACACAGACATAAATTATTTCAGTATTTGGAAAGTTATTTGTGTTACTGGAGCCTTTGATTCAAAGCATAACCAACCTTTTCAATGACATCTTGAGTATGCAACTTGCATTTATGATTTCTTATCCCCTTTTCTTTATCAATACCTGCAACCCCCATCCCTTAGGAAAGGAGCCTGGTGGGGGAACCAAGAGTTTGGATTGCAAAATTGAGGAGAGTGCTGAAACACCTGTTCTAGAGGACTCCTCGTCATCCCCTGTAGAGATTCAGCAACATTCCTGGCAGGTTTCCACAGACATTGAGAACACTGAAAGGTAAGTGGGAAGTTACCCTAAATAGACAGCCAGTCCTCCTCCACTTAATACTCTTCACGGCTACAGAGAGTCAAGATTTTCTCTTTCAGATTCAGAAACAGAGCTCTCAGAAAACTGAGTCAAGAGAAGGTAAGGGGTCCATATCCAGCAGCAGAATGGTAGCGGAAGCTCCAACAGATGCAGGCTCCCAGGCCTGTGCTCATCCCACTCCATCATATTGGGTCTCCATGGAAATGAAACGGTGTGCTTCTTTGGAAATGGAGAAAGTTGGATCTACATACTGTCACAGCTCATTCACTGGGCTGGGTCCCCATATCGTGCAAAGCTGCCTCCTGTAGATTTTTAGATTTTAGGTGTATGGAATGGCCTGCTTGGCTGCCAGTCAGTGGCTGAGCAGTCCAGTTCTGTCCAGTTCATAAATAGCTTTTTGCAGAACTCCCTTCTCTTATTCTCCCTGAATGTAGCTGATGGTCCCTTAGTGGTCATAGTGAGTTAATGCATTTGTCTTAACAAGCAGTTAGTTGCTCACTGCTAGAGAGAGAGTTTCTTTCTTAGGAAGAAGATTCTACAGTGGTTCTATTTCACTTGGGGAAAGGGAGCAATGATAATAATAAGTGCCATGTCTCATTTAGATGCTAAAAATGCTATTCTGTGAGGCAGAAGGACGAGGTCCTTGTTTATTGGCCTTCACACTGATATTTTGTCCTTTGCTACTAATGTCCCCAGAGCCAGCACAAAGCAGCTGAATGGATACTAAGCAATTCCACTGAGTGCTCTGTGTGTATGGGGTTGAGTCATTGACAAGATAATGAACATTTTATTTTTTTTATTTTTAGAAATGTAACACACAAGGGCATTTATAGCCATTGTGGTTCTACTTTCAGATTGTAATATAATTCTAAAGCTAATTACTGAATTTCTGTGTTTATAGAAAATTGAAGCATGTGGTAATTATGTGCTATTAATAAAACTTGGATTTTGTATAAGCTCGGAAATCCAGCAACTCAAACAATAAAGCTGTTTGTCATGGTTTGATAGAACTATAGACAAATGAGGGAGTGATTTAGTTTAATTTCTAAAATGGAAAATGCTTTGCTCTATTCCCAGGAAGAAATATCTGCCAGAGTGCCATGGTCAGAGCATAATCCATCTGCAAAGCCTTTTTCCTTTTCATAAACCTTGCACAGAAGCTATATCCAAGCCCTGTAAGATCGTAGAAGGCAAGCCATGGCTGGCGATAAGAATAGGAGAACAGAACCCACAGAGCAGCAGTGTTTCAGTTCTGCAGAAAACCCTGGATTCAGGTTAAAGGAGGTGGGAATGACTGAGAGAAGGTGGCACATAGACCTGTCTCAGAGGGTGGCTTCCTCAGTTCTTCTGTCTTTGTCTCTCTGCCCTAAAAGATCAATGGCTCTCAAACTGGGCTGCACATTAAAATCACCAAGAGAGCTTTTTTAAAATGTTGATGACTGAGCCCCACCTAAACCAACTAAATTGGGCTCTCATGGGTGGGGCTCCGCATAAGGTAATTCTCCTGTGCAGCAGCCAAGGCTGAGAATTAGTGCTCCCAGGGAGACTGTGCCTCAGTCTCACCTATTGCATTCCTATCCCTTTCCCACTTTGTGCCTCCCACTGCCCACCCACTCCATCTACCCTTGGGCATTTTACAAATGTACCTCTCACTTCAGGATGTTGGCCTTGCCCTCCTCCCTCTCCCTGACTTCTTCTAGAAATACCCTTTGGGGCTTATCAGCATGCAGTGCCCAAAAGTCACATCCTCACACCTGTAGGAAAGTATTCTGAATGTTTTTACAGGTGTATTTCTACATAGCCACAAGGTGGCTTTCCCCTCCTCTTCCAATCAGCTATTCCTGTGATAGAGTACCTTTTCATATTTTAGTCAATACTTGAGGAGGAGACCCCATGGGGTCTCCGATCTCCCTAAGGCAAGTAGTCCTCAACAGAACAGTTGTGTTTCATGAAATGGACCAAGGGATTTCAAACCTAAAATTAAATGATAGCTCTCTTTCCTCAAATGGCAGAAGAAACATAGGTTCATAGATAGCATTTCCTCGGCTTTAGGATTATCCTCGTTCCAAAATTTTCTTAAACCCTTGGTGCCTGCTATTGCTTGCCTAGAGTTAACTAAAAGATGTATCTGATTTTTGCTACTTTAAATGAAATCTATCACTATGTCCCAAGATTTCAAGAATGCTAACTCCAGTAGATGACCACCTGAACATGTGGGGAACAACTGTTCCAAAGATTTGAAAAGTCTAACTTGCCCCCTCCCCCAGACTAGAAGCTCCCTAAGATGTCGTCACCCTACTCTACAGTTCTGTGGTTTTGTGATCGTATATTCTCTGGGATGAAGGATGTTAGAGGTATGCAGTGTCAGACATACACACCCATGGCTAGAGGAAGGCCCAGCTGTCCCAGGTACCCTCTCTCTTCTCTGATGGCTTTAGAATTTGTCACACTCTCCCATCATTCCAAGTCAGTTTAATAAATGTTGGCCCTTGTGATGCTTAATACCTGTGTTACACTGAATTCTAATGGGGGTAAATTTAGACAACAGCAAGTTGTCTACTTCAGTGTAACACAGGTACCTACACAACCACAACATAAAGCCATAGCGCACCATCATCCAGCCTCAGCTTTGCCAAGGGTACCCCTGTTATTGTAGTTGTGTGTCCTTCACCTCCTCTTGCAAATCTGCAGTATTATCCTCATGGCCAGAGGCTCTTCTCTGATCTCGGCCAGGTCCAGCAGAAGGTAGAGAAGAAGGCTCCTACAGCAGAATGCCCTATGGAAATGTTTGCCAGAGTAGTTCCTTCCAGAACCAACCCATCTCAGATTTTTTTCTTATAAAAGCAGAATGAATTCAATATTTGACTGTTAGAAACTAGAGCTAGTACACTTAAGCACAGACTCTTGTCCTTCAGTTGTCTCGTAGAACAGACTGAGATTGCATTTCAAAAATTTACAGTTGATTATTTTTTCTTTTTATCAATTTTACAGAGACATGCGAGAAATGAAAAACCTTTTAAGCAAACTCAGGGAAACTATGCCTTTACCACTGAAAAATCAAGGTGAGTCTTGTCATTTATTTTGAAGCAGAGGATTTTTTTTTTAACATGAAAATCTTGGAACTTGTTTCTAGAGAAATTCAAGCAAGGTTTTCTTTTACACAAACACTAGAAAGCATTGAGCATACATTTGTCTTTCCTTAAGAAAATATGATAATGAGAACGGAGTCCCTCAGGCGTATATAGTTTTGCCTAAGGATAGCCCAGATATACTCTGACCTCAAAAAAGACCCCTCCTCCACTGGCCCCGCCAATTGCGAACATTTATTTGTTGTTCATGCTGTGGAAAACACTATACCAGGTGAGGCTAACATAAAAGGACTGGAGACTTGGCTCTTGCCTTTAAGAAGTTTACAGCCTAGTGGAAGACCAAATATTTATTTCTTCTTATAAATCACTATATCACAGCCACTATCCTGAATACTGTCGGTTATTAACTTATTTAGTTCTACTAACACCTTTGAGAAAAAACCTATTGCTATTTCCCAATTTATAGGAAACTGAGGCACAGAGAGGTTAACTAACATAGCCAAGGTCACACGGACAGCAGAAAGGCTGGATGTGATCCCAGGAAGTCTGTCTCCAGAACTATCCTATAATGGTATATACATCCTAACACATAAAGGGAAAAGGGATATTCACTAGAATATAAATTCTATGAGGAAGGAGCCTCTGCAAGCTTTTGTCAAGTATCTTCAGTACTGAGAGCAATTCCTGGAACACAGTAGAATGAAACCCAGCGTAAACAATAAACGTTTGTTAAATCAAGACCCAACTTTGTAGCTCCAGTGTCAGAAGCTATGTACAAAGGACGAATAATAAGCACTGCCACTAAGCATACATGGCTGGAGCAGCCTTAAGCGAAGCATAAGCTTCAGCGAGTAGTACATAGAGAATGGGAAAAGGATTTTTAGGAGGAAGAAAGAAACTCCTTTATTTCCACTGAGCAAAGCCTGGTCGAGAGGGAGCACAGGGTGCCGCCTGCCTCTGAGCAAGGAGGGAGAGGATTTGGCAGCAAAGATGGAGCACCTCTTGGCACACGGAGTAGCGAGGCAGAAGGTGGAGAAATGGAAGTAAGAACACCAGTCGAAGAGGCCCAGAAATCGGGTGGCCTGAGCTGAATGGGATGGAGGCAGTGTGTCTGAAAACACGAGGCAAGGGATACGGTGCATCGGGGAACTCGAAGCATGCCCCTGAAGGGCCTGCTCGAGCCGCAGGTGCAGTGTTTTACTACAACATGTGACCACAGCATGCAAGTTTGTTGCTAGAAACATCCATGGTGGCTGGGACCAGGGACCTGGATTAATGCTAGCCTTGGCTTTGGATGCTGGTGCTATCACTTACCAGCTTTATGCTCTTGAACAAGTTGTTTAACTTCTGGAAATTTCCATTTCCTCATCTCTGAAAAAGAAATAATAGTATCACTTAGTTCGAAGAGTTGTTTTAAGGATTAAGTGAAGCAATGCATGCCATATGCCTACTTTAACCTTATAGAGAGCAAAAATTCAACAAATACTATATTACTGTTGTTGCCGTTATTATTTACCAGCCTGGCCCAGCCAGCCCAGCTCAGGAAAATTCCAAATCATCATCCAATAGAATAACCCCTGTTCCCACTTGCTCTGAAGCTATGTATAGTGTCCATGAAAGGTTGATCTTGAGCCTGCAGATCAGAACTTTGATCCCCAAGACTTTGGATTTGGGGCTCAAATCTGAAGCTATTCTCAGTTTCTTAATATATCTGGCAAGTCTACCTCCATCAACAGCACTTGGGCCTCTCACCGTACCTCACATTCGGCTGCCCAAGAAGATGACTGTCCAGGATGCCAGGATCTGAATTTCATGTGTGCCATGTAGCCTCTATTCTAAATCAAAGCATCCAAAACATTCCCTCTATGCTTAATGAAAATTCATCCAACAGTGTTTTAGCCATGCATTAATAGAAAAAGAGAAATTTCATTTTATTTACTTAGGACATTTTTATAATCATAGAAAGTATAATATAAATCTCTTTATAACTTTGTATTACTTTTGTAAACAAAATTAATTTGATTTTAAATACATATTTTAAAATAGACTAGTACTAAGTAAAGATTGATAATGTGAGTAAAAACGTGAATAAAACGGGAATGGTCATCCAAATGAATGATACCCAGGATTTGAACCCTGAATCCATCTGGGGAATGAAAAGGCAAAGGCAAGGAGATGCAAGAACTTCTTTAGGAGAGATGCAATAGGATTTTTAAATGAATTTTTAAAATTGAGGTGAAGTCTTGTGGATAATTTAGATTTCTTCATTTGTGAGAGAAATGGGAGCCTTTAGCATGTAAAGATACATTTCTTTTCTCTACATGTTCAGTGGGTACTCACAGTATGTCATTATGAGTTGACCAGTGGGAAAAGGGGGATGTGAGTCTGGACTGGAGAATATGAGAAGGCCTGAGGGAAGGAGAGCAAGTCTCTTGAGTCCCTCTGGGAACATTTTTTAGCAGATGCATATGGCATCATTTTAATAAACAAACCAGCCAAATTCCTCTCTCTCTGACTGAGTACACTGAGATAGACCATAGGGACTTTCCCATGACCTTTCTGGAATTCTTTCCAGGTAATTTGTTTATTATATAGGTTTAGGTTAATACATGCAGAAAATGATATGGGGTAAAATGCAGAAAAATTTATACCAGTTCTTTTCTGTAAGATCTAGTTGTCAAAACACAATACTAACTGGATGAAAACCATTATAGAAAGCCATCTGTTTTCTATCTGGCTTCTTATTTTCATTCTCTTTTTATTCCATTTATGTGTGTGTGTTTGAAGCAGAGAGGGGAAAAACGGGAAGAGATACTACCTCTGGTCCCCCTTTTTCCTTCCTCAAACCCTGATCATGAGAGAACCCTGCCAGGCAGGTGCTGGGGGAGCCCGCAGTGGAAATGCTCAGATCCCTGTGTTCTCCAGGCTCCCTCCTAGTCCTCCGATCAGGAACTGTTCCACATTTATTTTAGTACTTAAAGACTTAATCAGATCTTTCCCTCCTTCCTACCACAATCAAAACTTGACTCAACAATAGTTTGCTTTAAATCAATTTTCAGTGGCAGATGAAGGAAGATGGCCAAAAGCAAGGATTTTAATGGTTAGTGATTACACCTTCATTTTAGCCAGGGCCTTTCTTTCTCATCCTTTCAGTTTAAGACTGAAGTCAAAAAGGTGAACAAAAGAAGGGCGAGCTACTCTTGTTTACTCCCAACAACATCCAGATCTCCTGGCTCTCAGCCCACTGTTCTACCCACTGCTTCAGCACCTCTCTTGTCCTACATTATGGGTCACTGGCAGTGCTGTAGGGAGCTTCATTAATTATGATAGTCTTGCTGTGTCAAATGGATTACAAATGGAGCCACCAGGGGAGAGCCCACAAGGTTACTGACAAAGGTTAAAAAGAGATTGGAAAGTGGAGGACAAGCATTTTCTAAATGACAGTTGTAATCAAATAAAACAAATTGACAGAAATAAATTAAGCCTGAAAGACAGTTTCACCTTTTCTAAAATTCTGACTTAATATGTGCTACGGGGTATGTTGGTGCATTCACTCTTGCCTAGAATTTGGTTGTTGATACCATTCATCAGAATCAGTCACAAGTGGATCTGTCAGGAATTGGATCTGTTCTAGAATGGGTCACCTCCTGTGGACAGTCCTATACCCGACTAAATTGGATCTAGGAACAATTCCCCAGACCCATACCCCTGATCCACTCCCATCTGGACCCTTATATCCAGAACCAACCTAAACATGTCAAGCAGAAGAGTTCAATACCTGGCTGAAGAACACTGGGCAGTTATGCCACCTGCTAGTGTGGAGATGACCGTTCAGATCTTTCCCCCAGGGCCCTATGTAAGACTTTCTGTGCTTCAAGCTGGTGCCTGAATGTTATTCTGGGCAGTTTTACCCATAGCCCCATATCCTTTGTAATCTTTGCAACCTTTTGTCCAAGATTCAATGTGACATATGTAATCCCTCTCTCTCCTCCAGTCTGATCCACACATTGTTGATCACCTATGAGTTTCTTAATGCATTATTCTGATGAAGTTGAGCCCCTACTCACAAAGTTAAATGTCTGCTCATTGACTAATAAGGGAAGAACAGGATTCCCACCCTAGCATCTGTTGTCCCTACCACTAACCAACATGTGATGGGCATCTATGATATGTCCAGTACTGTGCTAGGTAATGGGGATGCCTCTCCCTAGAGACTCTCCATCTCAATGAAACAGATTGGATGAGAACCATCTGGAAAGTTCTTTCATAATAAATGAAATGACAAATACCTCTCCTCACAGAGATTGTGATAAAGTCTATAGGGTAGGACATATGAATTCTGGAAACATCTATTACACACATACGATATTGAAAAAGCAAAGAAATTAGTGCTTAGAATATAATGATGTCACAATAGTTAGACACAGGTTGCTACAAGAGCATATTGGATTCTCACCTAGCCAGATTGGGGCAGTGGCGGGGAGGGGCAGGGAGGCAGCATTGAGAATAGTTTTTTTGGAAAGTATTTGAGCTGAGATTTTTTTAGGATGAATGAGAGTTAGTGAAAGAAAGAGATGGGGGGTGGGGGAGATAGTCTAGATAGAAGATCCCAGATATGGGAAGGCATTTGGGGAAATGAAAGAACAGGATATTTTGATGAACTACAAGCAGTTCATTAGTTGGGGAAGTGGTTAGAAAAAAGGCTTGGGAGAGAGAGACTGAAGAGATAGGTGGGCCTATATCATTAAGGTCCCTGTAAGCCATGTTAAGAGGTTTGGACTTATCCTGAAGCCATTGGAGGGATTTAGTTAAGAGGTAGGTGCTATAATCCAAATGAGAAATGCCAGGGGATTGGAGAAAATGATATGACCAATTGGATGAGCTGCATAAGGGAAAAGGCAGAATTAAGGATGAAATCCAAGTGCAGGCCTGGGGAGCAGAGTGAATGATGGTGTAATTCACTAAGTTAGAGAGAACAGAAGGGGAGCAGCAGAGGCAGAGGGCAATTGAAGTTCTGGACTTGGGAGAACTCTGAGAACAATTCTCAGTGGTAAAGAGTAAATGTACAAGTCTTATGCTGAGGTGAGACATGTAAACTGGGAGCACTGGGAATACAGATTTAAGCATCATCAGTATAATGGTTATTGAAACCCTAAGAGTGGTTGAAACCGCTCAAAGAGAGTGTGAATAGAGAAGAGTCCTGGAATACCAAAATTTCAGGTTTGAGGGGAAAGAGCAGTTTACAAAGGGGACTGAGAAGAAAACCAAAAGAGCATTATGAAATACCAAAGAAAGTTGCAAGGAAGGAATGGCTAATAGCACAGAGTAGTTAAGCTAGATAAGAATTGAAAGTGTCCACAGCTTTTAGCAACAAAATAGTCACTGGTGATATTGGCAAAAGCAGCTTACTTGGAATTTGAGGCCTGGAAGCCTAATATAGGAGGGTTGAAGAGTGAGTGGGAAATAAAGAGCTGGGGCAGCAAGGGTAAATTTCTTAAGACATTTATAAAGAGCTGCTTATAGAATCGTAGGAAGACAAGGTTGGAAGCAGATAATGTGCCGAGGGCTACGGCAGTTCTTTACAGAAGGAATGGAAGCATGAAGGAATGCAGAAGCAAGGAACAGTCAGAAAATGCTTTGCAGGGAAAAAAAAAATGCTTAAGCTAATCTTGAAGAAAGAATTGGCATTTCCCTAGAGAAAGACATGACATGTGTAAAGGCAGGTAGGCAAGGGAAGATATGGCCATAGTTAGGGAATTGTAAGTAGTTCTGTTTTGTACTGTCTCCTCCTTCATATGCCTGTCATTCCAGCCAGACTGGACTGGAATGACAGGCATATGAAGGAGGAGACAGGCATATGAAGTCATTCCAGCCAGACTTGGACCTAAATTCTGGCGGCCTCTGACCTTCATGTTTTTGTTCACACTGCTCTCCATCCAGAACGCCTACCCTCACTTCACCAAATGTCCAAGTTCTCCTCATCTCTTGTGGCCCATCCTGAATGCCAAGACCTTCATAAATTTTCCATGAATGTCATCTTCCTTCTCTGCAACTTAGGAGTAATTTCCCCCCTGAGAATTCTCATAGCATTGTATTTGTATCTCTCTTGCAGAATTTCTACTGAAGGCTCATAGTTACTCAAGGAAAGATCCTTGAGGCCAAGGATCATCCTTCTATTAGGACCCATCAGGTATTAACCCCAGTACCTAACAGAGAGCCTTGCACTTAGCAGGCCTTTGGTTCTCAAAGTGTGGTCTAGGGACCAGCAGGTCTGAGAACTTGTAAGAAATGCAAATTATCTGCCCCAACCCCCACCCCCTACTGATTCAGAACCTCTGGAGGTAGGGCAGCAATCTGTGCTTTAAGAAGCCCTCAGATGATCAGCCAAATTCGAGAGCCACTGGGTTAGCTGAAGGTCTCCTTTTTTGTGTTCTGGAATAGAAATTTGTCATCTGCAGTTCTATTCTAAGCACCTCTCTTGACTTTACCTGAGAACGTAGCTGTAAACTCAAACACTCGGTTTATTATTTGAAAACTTATTTTTATGTCCCTCTGTTTCTTAACATATCATCTATATAAGACATCTTTTATTAGCAAAAGAAATTTGAGCAGTAGAGACATGGCATCAGTGGGCCTACTCTCCTTTTTTTTCACTTTTTCCTTTGCTTTCCTTCCTTCCTTTCCTTTCCCACTTTTCATATTCACATTTAAAATTGTCCTAGATTACAGTTCTCTGAGAGTCTGTACTTCAAAGAAAAAATGCTACAAAAGCCTCAAACATTTGCAATAAAAAATCAAAAATTTCCCAATAAGGTCAGGTGGCTTAGCCCAGAAAGTTTAGAATGAGTGGAAAAACAGTCCATTTTGTTCCCATTCTTTTGGCAACCCATCACTTCACAGACAGGATTTCAATCAATGTGGAAAGACGTCTTTCCTTGGAGTTGAATTCACTTCAAACTATTCCAGACATGCTTACCACTCCGGGAATTTCAGCATTTACTGAAGGTGTCAGCTCCCTATGGTGTAGAAAGCTGCTCTGAATTTCGGCCAAAAATGTGTGAGCTGTTGTGTCACCTCAGCCTTAGGTGATGAACAGACAAGCTCTGGGCTAGGCAAAGGTGTCACAAATGCTCAACAAAGATGTCCCAAACCAGCAGTCACCTTAATAAGCAGTCTGCTCTTTGCTTAACAACCTAGTGCTTTCTCATTAATCCTAACACTTCCTATTCACTTGTGAGTGCTATATATGCTTATGTGTGTGTGTGTGTGTGTGTGTGTGTGTGTGTGTGTGTGTGTGTGTGTAGCACTCACAAGTGAATGTATATACATGTATATGTGTGTATGTATATATAGATAGATAGATAGATAGATAGATAGATAGATAGATAGATAGATAGATAGATGAAAAGAAGACCGAGTGAGGAGAATTTCAATAGCACAAAAGGTTTTTGATTCACTGTAATGAATGCATAGACACAAGGGTCAGACTTGATAGGAATCTCGTAATATCTGTATAATACCTGTGTGCTTTTAATATGTAAAAAAGAGAGAACAGGAGCAAACACGGCACCACAGCAGACATAGATACAACCTTGTGGCAGACATTTCTTCATCTAGTGGGAACCACACACATCAGAATTGCATTTTATAACATATAAAATGGTAGGTCACTTCCCAAATCTCTTAAATGGTTGGAGAAAAGTAAGGATATATAGCAATTCAGTCTTAAAGAAATAGAAATACAAAGATTTTTTGTCCCTATAAATATCTTCCTAGTTTTGGTGATTCTGTTCCAAGGAAGCATTGAATTCCAGATGAACTTGAGTTTCAGGAAGTGTCGTCAGTATTGAAAGAGATACTGAAAGGTAAAATTTTATACCCTTCAGAGTCTGCTATATCTTTGCCATATCCAATAAGGTTACATTCATTGCTCACTGAATTTTTAAAGAAGAATCCCAAAAATGGTGAGAAAGTGAATTATCTTTCTTTTCCAAATATATTATGATTCATCTCTGAGAGGTTATCCTTAGAAATAAAGCTCAGATATGATATCTGACATTGTTTTCATTATCTTAACTATTTGGGGCAAGTTTAACTATAAAAGAGAGATGTCCTATTTTTAGCTCTCGAAATGTTGACATCTAGATTATAGTGAATTATATTTCACTATGGAAGGACAAAGAGAGTCTTTTTTCCTCCATGTTAGCAGAATATGACTTTAAAGAGAGGACTTTAATCTGAGGAGACTGGGAGAGTTGACTGTGTTTGATTAATTTGATGTGCCCAGCTGGGGCGCCTGCTTTCTTCCGGAACTGACTCCAACTTGCTACTCTAGTTCCATTTAAATGTATAACATAGTGTATACCATTCTCAGGAACACTGTCACCTTGGTGGATGATGCTAATTTACTTAAAAATATGACATAAGAAGAACCTTTGGAGAAGGCCGGGGTGAAGCCTGGGCACTTGGATGACACAATTTATGTAAGAGGACCAGGAAAGTCAGGACTCATTTTTGTCCTTGACAGTTTCCTGAGTGTCTAGGCTCAGTAAGCATAAAAACTAACCTTCATCTACAAACCACTTTTATTGAGGTGGGGCACATTCTTTACTTTATGCCTGTCTTCATCTAACTCCCAATTCTGGGCTCTTTCCCAAGGTCCCATCTGCTCAAAGTTAGGATGGGAAAAGGAGGGAGTTCCCTAGCTCTACTCTGGGAGAGCAGTACACCTAGTCCTGGCAGAGTTTAGGTCCACAACAATTGCCAAAACCAACCTAGTGCCTGTCTGATCAGGCCCTAGCACTGCCCCAGTTGGCAGTTTCCAGGTTATTTCCTTGTGGTCCTTCTTTAGCCTCTGGGATCCCCCTGGCCAGTTCTGCTCCAACAGGATATTTCTACCACCCTCTCCGGACTACACTATTTCCTAAAAACTCAGTTCATTAAACCGGATTTGGTTTACCAGCTTATTTCTTCCTCTACTTGTCATCATGCTAAAAATTTTAAATCAAAACTTATGAATTCAATAGCTGGCAATCTTCTTTGATTGCTCTGGTTACAGAAATCTGTAGAAAGTGCAAGGGAAAGACTCAACCAGAAATAGCTGACACTTCTTCCTGAGGCATGATGTAGATGAATGGAGAGAAGGCATTTGTCCTATGTAAAGGGAAATAGTTAACAACAGCTGAGTGTTTCCTCTGGGCTAGGTGCCAAGATATCTACCCAAGCTATATATTTTTCATAGATTATTTCATATTTAACCCTCATCTAAGTATTATTAAACTCTGTTTTACAGAAGGGGAAACTGAAGCTTGGTGAGCTTAAGTTACATGTTCAAAGTCACAGAGCTAGTAAATAGCAGAGGCAAGTTTACAAAAAACACCAACCTTACTCCAAAGCATGGGCTCTTTCTCAGAAGCTATACTTCTCCCACCTGGAAGATTGCCTAAGCAGTTAAAATGTAATTCCAAGTGGTGGTTCTCAACTGAAGGCTGTTTGCCCCTCCCCCAGGGAATATTTGGCCATAGCTGGGGACATTTTTGGTTGGGGAATGCGACTGGCATAGTGAGTATGGCCCAGCATGCTGCTAAACATCCTACAGTGTTCAGGATAACCTCCAACAAAGAATTATCTGGTCCAAAATGTCAATAATGATGAGATTAAGAAACCTCCATTCAAAGGATGGTAGCTTTTTAAAGCCAATTTATAAAAAGATTTGGTCTGTACTTCATTCATATGTACCTTGTCTCCTCACAGATGACAGCAGCCTTCTAAATCTAACTTCCTACCCTCTGGTTAGAAGACGGAAGAGAAGGTTCTTTGGGCTATGTTGTCTCGTCTCGAGCTAAACCCCTGGGAAGACCTGAAAAAGTCGCAGAAGCTGAGGACCTCCAGACAGCTGAACCACAATTATTGGTTTTTGACTATGTTTTCTAGCTTCCTTATTTTTTTTTTTATCTGCCTCCCCTTCCCTTTTAAATGATTTTACATTTGAAAGGAGCTGCTGTCAAAAGAAAAAAAAAGATTAAAAAAGCAGGCTGTTTTTAAAAGGATTTTTAAAGCTGACATTGTGCATGTCTGCTCTACACCATACCATGACAGATGCAAGAATTATAATTTTTAGATTAAAGGTTTTTTTTAATGTATTATAAAAAGAAAAAATTACTTCATATATAATAATATATCTATAGCTCTTGCTGATCTCATGTTAACAATTGATCATATATGGAAGAAGTCTTTAAACATAGAAATCTATTTAAAACTGAAAAACTGTTAAAAATCTGATCTATTAATATCATTAGAAATAATATTATAATCAAACATACCACCTTGCCTATTGCTTTCTCTGCTTTCATTTACATTTAGTCTTCCATTCTGTCAGAATCTAAGAGCTTCAACAGAAAAATATTTTAATTTATAATGCAACAAAAACCATATATGAAAAGTATTGAAATTTTGTAAATACACAATAATCCTAATACCTTCGTACAATGCATATGGGCAACTAATTTCCTTTTGATCCAATGGTGTCTTTTTCAGCTTTTTGGAGAATGAAGTAATCCAGTTAGGAAATGATGTAGTGATATATACAATTACCCTCAAATGTAAAATTGAATATTATCACATTTTGTTCTAATTGAAATCTGAAGCATGATGTCTGCACATCAGCATAGTGTTAACTCTTTTAGGGCATGCTGGAATTAGCTCAGATCATAAAAATATTTAACATTTTACATTGTTAATAAAATCTTTTTAGTTAAGCTAAGCTTGTCTCATTTTAGATGACTATGCAGATATGACTTTTCCAGTGTGTACTTGGTGTCTTTTATGCTCAGAATCTTGAAAGCAGGACACATGAAGCAATACTATATTTTAGAAAGGAGGAAGCCACATGCTTTGTTTTTCTGCTCACAGCTTTGTTGTGATCTTCCTCCACTAAATCTGTAACATGGTCCAAATTTTGGTATATTTTCCCCCTGCTCTTCCTTTGGCGCATTTCCCAGACAGAATTTCCCATGGGCTGAGAGATCAGGCCTTTGGACTTCTTTTCTTGTTTTCCATAGTCTGGAAAATCCTAAAGTCAGACAAGAGGTACCAGTGTCTAATGCAATAAAAGAATGAGTTAGATGCCTAGAAGTGGTTTATCCAAGACGCATCTTTAATCCCAACCCTGTAATTTCTCTGTACTTAGGTGCACAGGCTTTTATATGTCCACCAATATTTGACCTGAAAATTAGATATATTAAAGCCTTTAGCTTTAGTGTAGATGAAAACAGGTACAGACAAATTACTGGAATAATTATTGTATTAGGTTGAATTTTATGAAATTGCTGATATTTGACTGTTTTGACCTAAAAAATAGTAATTTTATATACTTCAACCTAATATCTGATGTTGTGGGAATTATCCTTGGAATTGTCTTTTAGATTTTTTGATTGAAAGCGAAAGGATTAAAGGGTTGGAAGAGATCTCAAAAGCCTATGCAGGTCTCTATTTAGATTACACTAGCTGGCTATTGGCCTTATTCTTAGAGTTTAGAGTTGTGTTCCAATGAACTGGTAATTGATGCATAATTTTAGATATATCTGGCTTCATATAAGGAAGTACTCTTGAATATTATACGAGAAAATCACAATTTTCAAAATCAGACTTGTAAAACAGTTGTGAGAATATGCTATTTAAAGACTCCTCAGGTGAATACTCCCAGGCAAAGCCGTAACCACTCCCTGATTTACCTGGTATTCAAACCCTGATTTTCATAAATCAGGTTTGATTAAAGCTTAATATCCTTTCCTGAATGCAGCTCATTTTCACCTTCTGAGGTTAATTAACTTCAGGTCCTTTGTTTTAGAAATTATGAGGTAGCCCAGTTTGGCACGTTCCCAGCTTCTGTCTCTGCCCAATCCCATCTTTATACTATATTAAACCTCTAGCTTCATTCTAGTTCCTATTAATCCATGCAGAGTTATTAACTGATAATTCCAACCTTGGTGTCCAGCACGTTCTTCTAAATGCCTGGCCTAAGTCACTTCTGCTTGGTTAATTCGTGCTCACTCGAGCCTTAGTCTTGGCGTGAAAGTAACACTTACCTGCCATGCAACTGTCCTTTGCACAACTGAAGACTGTTAATAAATTCAGGTCTCGCCTCCATGTTTGGGAGGGCTATAGTAGCATTTCATGGAGATGGGGATTTGTCTAATTCCTTAGCTAGGCTTTCCATATCTAAGGGAAATAAATTCAGCTACTTTATCTTTTATTCATAGTGCCTGTTTCCCAGCCTTTGATCAGTTTTGTAGTTCCCGTAGACACACTCCAAGATTTATAGATCTTTTTTTCACTAACAGTTCCTAAAATTAAATTTAGTGCTCAAAGTCCTGATAACCTATGCTGGCACATAGTTGCAATAGGTAATTCACTATCTCCCATTAGATAGGCCACCGCATCTCTGTAGGAGCTGACCCTACCCTCCTCTCACCTACCAAAGGACTTTCTCAGGTGTTGTTCCATGAGATAGAGCTCTCCTGTCTCGGCTTCCCACTGGTACTTTGATTTTAGATGAGCAATAACACTGAGCTGATCTCTAGAGATAAGGAGAGAACACTGAACCCACTTTGTTGCATGTACTCACATGCTTGAAATAGGAAAGGACGTGAACTTTTTCTGGCACACAAATCATCCATTTTACCACTCTATTTTTAATAACCCCATGTTGATTTTTTTTTTCCCTTCAGATTACAGAGGCAATACATGTTCTTTGTGGGAAATCTGAAAAAATACCACCGAGTACAAAGAAAATAAAACTCACCAGAATCTCACCACAGTCACATTGTTTAAAACCACATTTCCAAGCTTTTAAATCAGTCATTGGTGGGGCCCAAAGGCACTTTTGGATAAGGTTTATAAAGAAGTGTCCACAAGGCCAAGGCATCACTTTAAAAAATCTGTCCACTAATGTTTTGCACACACCTAGGAACAGATTCACGGCACACCTCTGGTTGTGCCACTGTCCAAGGATACAAAGAAGAGTTTAGAAGTAGCGCAGCCCTGATGCCTCCTCTGATGAAAGCTCTTAGGGGAAATTATAAAACCCTGCCAGATCATTTTGTTCCTTGATGCTCCTTGTAATGTTGGGATACTTACTGTTTGGCAATACTGCCACCTACAGAAAGCTGAGCTTCAGAGTAAGAGGGGAAAACCAACAGAGTATTAAAAACATCCTATTTATTTTACACAGCAAACAAATGGGCCAGATTAACAAAGATCCCAATGGAATTTCAGACTCTAGAAGTCTTGGAGTTGAAAGGATTAAGGGTATCATCCAGACTAACTTCCCGCCCCACATGCATACCTAAGCAAAGTCTGTCATTTCTTTCTGTTCTAGAATGTCACCAAATGCAAAATGCTCAACTTTCAGGTAACTACAGAAAGGATGAGAAAAAGCAGTGATGCTATTGGTCCAAAATAAATCATTAGAATTAAATATAAAGTCCAGAAATAAACCCGAGAACATAGAAGAATTGAGGACATTTTGAACCCATGAGGAAAGGTTGGATTATTAAGTAAATTATATTGGGATAATGGGTTAGCCATTTCTTGGAGGAAATATTAGATCTATGCCTCATAACTTTCACCAAAGTAAATTCTAGGTGCAGTAAAGATTTAAATGTTAAGGCACATAAATAAACATAGAAAAGGACTAGCAGGCAATATTAGTGAATATTTATGTAATTTTAGTGTGGAAAAAAGCCTTTCTAAGCATGACAGTAAAGGAAGAGTCCACAAAGGAAAAGATAGATTTAACCAATTAAAAATGCGAAACTCCTATACAGTAAAATAAACCAAATTAAGAGAAAACAAAATTTGCAATATATGCAGCAAAGAGTATAGATCTCGAATTTATATCAAGAGCTTAAACTGCACTACTCTGAGAAGTTTTCATGATCTACAACCCCCTGCCCAATCAAATGTTCCCATTTCATTCTTTTCTTCTTATTACACTTTTTTCATTATAGCTTATTGAACTGTCTATATCCACTAAACTGGAAGTTCAGCGAGGCAGCAACCATGTCTACTTTGCTTACTGTTATATCTTCAACACCTAACAGTGCTAGACACAAAGCAAATACTGAAAACATTTATTGAATGAGTGAATAATGAATGCATGAATAAATAACATTTTATGACACAAAAACAATCAAACTTTCTAGTAGAAAACTGAGCCAAGGACACAAACTGGCAATGTATCATAAATTTAAATAATGCACTAATAATAAATGTGAAAATATTTGAATATATTGGTAATCAAAAATGCAAATTATTATAATCTACTCCTTTGTATGTATCAAAAAGGTAAATGATACAAAGAATTAAAGTGCCCAGAGACAGAAGGAAGTGTGGAAATGAGCGTTCACTTATAGAGTCAACAAGAGTATAAATTGAGTCGACATTTCCGGAAAATATTTTGGAAATATATTTTACATGTATGCCAAGTAATACCACTGGTCAAAAAAGGTCAAAAAAAATGAACTAAGATACATTCATTCATTATTCAAAAAATATATGCGAGAAAGGATGTTTATAGTAGCATTATTCGGAAGAATGGGAAAAATGTAAATAAGTCTATGGTATAAGGTTGGTTAAATATAGTATATCCTTTCAATGGAATACTGTACACCAATTAAACACCATATGTATATTTATGGAAATGAATAAGCTATGTTGTTAAATGAAAAAAAGTTTACAGAAGAAATCTATAGTGTGATTCCATTTTTAAGATATGCATATACATGTGTGCATTAAAGAGTCTGAAAGGATATTTGCTAAAATGTTAACAGCATTTATCTCTGGGAGGTGAGACTTGGAGTAATTATATTTTCTTTTTGCATATCTGTAATTTCTGAATTTTCCACAATGAGCATGTAGTATCTGTATCATTTTTCAGGGAATAAACAGTAATGTTCACAATATATATTAAAATAAAAAACACGTTACAAAACAGTATGTATAGTATGATACAATATTTGTAAAAAAGAAAATTATATATAAATATATCTATGTATGTATATATATGCATAAGAAAGCTAGAAAGACATACATTACATGTTAATAGTAGTTACTCATGGGTAGTGGGATTATGGGTGATTATTTTTTTCTTTTTGCTTTTCTGTGTTTTCTAATTTTTCTACAATGAATATGTATTACTTGTGTAATAAACACTAATAATAAACATTTTTAAAAATGAAAAGGTGACAGAGACATTGTGACTCACTACTCGCCCTCATCCTTCCCCTCCCCCCACTACACCCTTGACTTTTTCCCTGTCACTGTGGACAGTGGAGATATGGAGAAGAAACACCACGCATCATAACTTTTGAAGATGGGGACAGAGGTATAAGGTATCCTTATACCTCTGGGAGGGAGGACACTTGAGGGAGCTGGCAAGCACATAAGCACATGCTGGGGAGGAAAGAAAGGGATGAAGGAGGTTAGGAAAGGAGGGAGGGGAAAAGGTAAAAGAAAGAAGCAAGGAAAGATTACAACAGGCTTTGGGAACTTTTTCACTCACAATAACGATGTCTAAATTTAGCTCAGCTTTCTGCTACAACAAAACAATTGAGTTAAATACTTTTCTTTTCTAATAAAATGATATTATATACATGTCTAGAGAGACATCTGGAAATTAAATTCTGACAGGAATGTGTCTATCCCAAGGAGTTTTTCAAAATGTGAACTTTGCTAATGATCCAGGGCTGTGCAGTACAGCCCAGAGTGACACAGGCTTTTGTCTGAATCTCAGATGCTCTGCAACCCAGTACACAGCTGTGGCTAGTACGCAGTTTCAACATCCATTCTCTCCATTTTTTCCTTTAGTAACAGAGGCCCCCAAATTTCAGCAAGATATTGGCCACCTAAAGTAAAGACTCTATTTCCCAAGCTTCCTTGGTCTTAGGCTATATAACTAAATTTTGGCCAATAAGATATGAGTGGAATCATGCAATTTCCAGTTAATATCCCTAAAATTAGGGGCATGCCCACCCAAGCTCTTCTTTTCTCACTAGGCTGCAATGAACATGACTGTGAGAGCTGAATCAACTGTCTCAGACCCAGCACGAAGATAACAAACATGCCTTAGCAGATCTATATCACCTATCTCCATACAGTTATCTGCTAAACTATTTAATTAATAACGTGAATCTTTGTACAGAAAAACTTGTTCACTAAATCAATTAACTTCTGTAAGCCTCAGGTTCCTCCAAATAAAATGGAAATAATATCAACATTCCAAAACATTCAATCTAATAACTGTCTAATTACTTGCCTCGTACCAAAGCTCACAGTATTTCAGAGGTCTGCCTATACATCCTGAAAGTTAATACCCAGTATTTCAAGATATTTTCTCTTTTAAGAGGCTATGCCACACTCTCTTGGGATGGCAGCATCTGCTTGGTGAAATATGTGTAGGAAGAGTAGACCCAACAGTCATGTTTTCACTGACATACCTCCATTACTATAAAGTGGGGCACTTGGTTTTAGGCAACGTTTGTAGGATTCCCACGTCACTAGATCAGACAGACACTTTATGAGTCTATGGACTGGTGCGGGCTGAAGCCCTGCCTACAGTAATGGCAAACCCGTACCCAGGAAGCAGGTTAACTCTAGTCAGGGTGGATGTAGTCAACTTGTCACTATGTAGCAGGCTGTTCTCCCCAAGGAATGGTATTGAATCAAGGCACAATATCAATCTCTGTTGTCAACAGACTGGATATTCAGCAGTGGCTGTAAATAAGCTCACCTTGGTTAGAAAAGTTTGCATTAGTTTCTTATTGCTGCTGCTATAACAAATTACCACAAACTTAGTGGCTGAAAAGGACACAAATTAATCGCTTACATTTCTAGAGGTCAAAAATCAGTTCCACTGGCCTAAAATCAAGGGGTCAGCAGGCCTGCATTGCTTCTGGAGGCTGTAGAGGAAAATCTATTTCCTTTCCTTTTCCGGCTTCTGAAGGCCTTCTGCATTCCTTGGCTCGTGGTCCCTTTCTCCATTTTCAAGCCAGTAGAGTAGTGTCTTTCTTATTTTTAATTCCCATTCTCTCTCCCTCCCTCCCTCTGACTCCTACTTCCATCATCACATATTCTTCCTTAACACTGACTCCTCTGCCTCCCTCTTATAGAACCCTTGTTTTTACACTGGACTCACCCAGATAATCCAGGATAAATTTCTCATCTCAAGATCCTTAATGTAATCAGATCTGCAAATTCTCTTTTGCTAAGTAACATATTTACAGGTTTCTAGGGGTTAGAAAGTGAACGTCTTT